CACTTTTTTTTACTTGTAATGTTAAAGGGCACACTAGGATTGGAGCTGTTGGAGCAGGTTCCAGACATAGATGCCATTCTGGTGGGGGTCAGTGGGGGAGGCTTGTCTTCTGGTATCGCCGTGTCTGTGAAAGCTCTAAAGCCCAGTGTTAAAAGTAAGTGATTGAAGCTGAATGATGATATTTGGTGCTGTTTTTATTTGTTGATGCTTTCTGCTGATTAAAATTTGTGGTTGATGTTTAGTGCTTTTTGTTTTCGTTGTTGTTGATATTTTGTGCTACTTTTATTTATTGAAGATAATTTATGCTATTTTTATTTGTTGATGATATTTTGTGCTGTGTTTATGTGTGTGACTGACAAGGTTGATGGAAAAAATAACAAGGAGAAGGCACGGAGTTAAAAACCTGAAGTACTTGGCCATATGGATGGAGGGAGGGCAAGAGCTCTGACTTGATCTATGATTCTTGTTTATGTTTTTCAATGGATGAACATCATGGCACACAGGTGTAACCCATAAGTGCTCTGTTCTACTTCTAACTAAAGCCTGAGTCTGGAAAATCTCAGCACAGTGCGCAAACAGTTGTCTGCATGATTTTACCTGTATCTTTACCATTCCAACAACAGTTGTCTGTATGATTTTACCTGTATTTTTACTATTCTAACAGCAGTTGTCTGCATGATTTTACCTGTTTCTTCACTATTCCAACAACAGTTGTCTGCATGATTTTATCTGTTTCTTTACTATTCCAACAAACGTTGTCTGCATGATTTTACCTTTTTCTTTACTATTCCAACAACAGTGCATGATTTTACCTGTTTTTTTACTATTCTAACAACAAACCAAGAAAAGCATTTATTATTTTTCAGTATTTCTGGTCACACCCAAGGGCAAGAACCTTGCAGAGTGTTTGAAAACAGGTTTGTCCGGTTGTTTTTCTTTTTTGTTTTTTAAATTTGTTGTCATAAAAGCAAAGTAAAAGGATTTTCTTCTGACCAGTTCTGTTTTGGTGGTGAACCCAGCTTTAGAAAATCTCCAGAATTGTCTGGGAAAGAGAGGCGAAGAGGACAGGATCAGGTCACCCAACATCAAATGACATGGACTTGAATATGTAAATGCCTTGCACACTAGATATAAAAGAATTCTCGTTAATCAGTGTAGGAATAGTACCAGTGACTGCTGGATACTGATATGAATGTTGAAGAGGAGAATCTAAGTACCGTTGACGCGTCTAGAGCGCCGTGAAGATAACTCAATTCAAAATTCATAATTAAACCCTTTAACGCTGGAAACACAAAAAAAAAAAACAGGCACTATAGAATTCCAGAAAAAAAGTCACTTAAAAAAAAAAAAACACAGTTTAACTCAGGTTACTAATAAATTCTTAAAATTGTATTTATCTACTCTTTTGTTTGTTTTTCCTTCAAAATATTTAAAGATAAATTAAAGAAGTAATTAATAAACACAATCAGGTAAAAACATTTAATGGAATACATCCCACAGGCCTAAAAATAGTTATATTGACAATATAACTCCTTATATTCATTACACATCATATTCTTTTTTAAAAACAATCTCTGATCTTTTGCCAGTGCGAAACAAGGGCATGCTGGATTTGTCTGTCCCATGTTTTTCCTGTTCCTACAGACATTTCTTCACAACATAAATCAGATCAATAGGTCTCTCTGGGGGAAAGGGGTGGGGGTGGGGGGGGGGGGGTCCGGGCCCCCATTATGTGAAAAAAAAGGATAAACCCACTGCCCATGTGGGTATTTTGGAAATGAACAAGCAGACATACAGGCTGGCTGTGAGCCACTTGGTGGTAAATGTGTGCATCACAAGCTAGATGTTGTCAAGGCTGTTTGGGAGGAAGTGAACAGTGCAGAGGCGCACTTAGAGTATCAGGGTCTGAAATGAATGGTGCAACGGAAAGTGACTAGGGGATCTAGTCGACACTCCGCACAAAGAGGAAAGGCAAGACAGACTTAAAATCAGACTGTTGGAACTCTTCGTTGGCTGTTGAAGATGGGGTTGGAGCACTTGTGGGACTGTCCTGAGTGCTTTGATGTCGGTTCACAAAACTAAACAAATGTTCATAAATGTTGAACACTATTTCTTTACCAAAAGAAAGTTTATAACAATTTGTTGTTTGTGATGCATTGTCTCATCTAATGTAACAGATTATTGCCAGTGCTGTTGTTACAATAAGTTGCCATTTCATACATAACAATATTTACATTTTGCTCGTGTAGTTTGCTGGCCCCATTATGTGGAAAACAAGAATAGACCCACTGCTTCCCCAACAATCCTGTCGTCGGAGTCGATTAATTGGGGAAATCCTTCAGAATCGGAGCACATCCGCCTGAGAGGCAAGGAACCACAAGTCTGCATACAAATAAGCAAGATCTGTGAAATGGATGTGCACGCAACACTCATGTTTTGGAGCAAGACTAAAGTCTGGAGGTTGATGAACACCCAGAACTTTCTGACGGAGTTTACAGCTGGTGAACTCAAAGAAGAAGAACAATATTGACATTTTACATTTGAGGCATGCGAGATTTCATATTTCTGTTTACATTATTTACTGAGAGCAACAAACTAAAAATGGTAAGGGGAAAATAAGGAAAAGTGTTAGTTTCTGAATGCTCAGTCGATCAGACCTGTTCGTCCCCCCCCTCCCCCCCCACTCCCCATTTTAGTATATTACTTGTTATTCACAGTTAGTCTCTAATGTGTGCCAAACATTTTTTTAGTTATTCTAGTACATTCAATTTTTTTTTGTAAGGCAGGCGGTCCTAAGAAAACTCTCAGCAGTATCTAAACCAGATGTGCAAATGTTTGTATTTCTGTCTTTGTTATTCACTGAAGAGAAAAATTCCCTGCCTATCATTGGAACTTTGCTTTTTCCCACTTGTTTTAGTGCATTCATCATCATCATCATCATCATCCTGTAACACTGCATGTTATTGGGTCACAAGTTTCTGTTGAGTGTCTGATCAGCTCTCTCCCCCTTTAGCGGTCAGTTGCGATGGACTTCATGGTTGCATACCTGAGGCCTGTCCAGTCAGTCAGGCTCTGTAACCAGGTCTTTCTTGGTCTGCCTCTTCTCCTGTTTTCCTCTACTGAGCCCTGCAGCATTGTTATTGAGAGGCCCTTAGATCTTATTACATGTCCATACCATTGCTTATTTCACCATTTCACTGTAGGTAAAAGAGGTTTATAGTGCATGGTCTGCAGGTTATTCATTGTTTGTCTTTGATAAGTTGAATGTTGAATTAAGAATCAACACCATAGCACTTGGAACACTCCCATAAGCGATCCGTTCCTGTCTTCAGCAGCAAAGGAAGAGTTCCAATTCTGATGGTACCAGTAACTGTCTGATTGTATGTACATCCATCCCACCCTTCCCTTGAGTGTTGAGCATCAGCCAGATCCCCAGGTTACTGCTGGCTGATCTATTTGTGCCTCATCACTGTCACTCGCTCCCAGAGGGTCCTTACAACATCAAGCTTCTCATATAATAGTTCACCACCAAGCGGTGCAGAACCGGCAGTCTATCTGCCTGCTGATTTCCCAATACACCAGCATAACCTGGAGAGAATATCCAAAGGATGCTAACTACCTGAGACTTCTGAAGTGTTATGTGTCCTACATTAATTGCTCTAATACCCTCAATGTTTTCACTTTTAGGCAAGCGACCTTGGGAAAACCCTCCGCAGTATCTCAACACAATTATTGATGCCATGAGGTTGCAGCAGAGCGGATTTCTGACAACTCCGATTCTTATAGAGAAAGCGGAGAAAGAGGTTTTTGAAATGGTAAATTTGTGTTAAAGATTAAACAGCCCTAACAATCTGTAGTTTCTGCAAGATTGACAAGACCACACAAACATAACATCAAAAGGGGTGGAGCCAGACAAGAGCCCCTATACAGGGGCCCAAAGAAGAATAGTAAACCAACACAGAACTGGTGTCATAAGCCACTACACGCTGAGGGAGATACTGAAGAGGGGATCTAAGCACTTATGGACTGGATGGTTTGATGTGTGATGATGGTGAGGTAATCTATCGACTAACTAACTAAAAGTTTCTAGTTAAGCACAAACTCAACATTTTGAGAGTGTACATCTTGGCTGTGGCAACATATAGATGTAAGTTGTGGAATATCTTGTAGTCCTTAACAAAAAAAAATTGGGTGCTTTTGAGCTGAAATTCTATAGAAAGATTCTCAGAATACCGTGGACAAAGAAGAGAAGAAATACTGACATGTTAAAGGATCTAGACATCAAGGAAGATTGGCTAATAAACAGCATCTTGTCTCGGAAGCTGAGATATTTTGGCCATATGAAGCGCCATGGCTGATTTTAAAACAATAATAGCAGAAAGGGTATACAGATTCTGGAAGATTTTCAGCGCTGGGGGAAGGTGGCAGATTTTTAATCAGGCCGCAACTGGTGTAATTAGCATGTCAACTCCTTGTTGGCTACTGAAAAAGGGGACGGAGCATGTGTGTGAATATGCTGAGTGTATTGATATCAGTTCTTGATTTATTCATTCATTCTGGGCTTCTGTCATGCTATCTTTCAACCTTTTTCATTGTCTACTTCAGTGTTTCCCAGACTTCTCTTAGTCGCGGCATCTTTTTTGTGTGATTAAAAACATTTTTACGGCACCCTAACCTACGTAAAAGTATGGCTATTCGGATGTAAGAGATAAAAAAATCAATAAACCTTGTGTATCTTCAAATATTTTGCGGTGCCCCTGTGAAGACGTCGCAGTACCCGGTGGGCCAGGCGCACAGTTTGGGAATCACTGGTCTACTTCATGCCGTTTATCACGGTCCTTTTTTTCTTTTTTTGTGTGTTTGCGTGTTGTTTGTTTTTGTTTAAGTCTTGAACAGTATGACATTGCAAGACAGTCTCTGTAAGGGGCCAAACCATCTTTATTATGTGTTGTCTTTTTATAGTTTAAAATTGGCTTTATGCCAGCTATCTGTGGTTGATGACGACCTCCTGTGTCATTGAATCTTTTAGGGTGCTGGTTTTCACCAACTGTGTCACTGTTTGTTTTTTAAAGCCACTTGCGTTTGTGACCTGTCATTGCGTTCACTAAATAGAGGGGTATTTAATCATACGTAAGTGGCTACTTGGGCTAACCCTAGCACAGAGTGGTCTCGGGCAGGTGGCCAGGTGATTTGGGCCACATCTGTTGGGGGAATCAGTTCAATTTCTTCTCTGGCATGTCTTTGTTGAGTTGCTGTTGTCCTGACTGCTTCACATGCTGCTGCTCCAAGATGAGTGCTAGGGTGAATGTCTGTGTGCAGTTCATTGATCTCTAGGAGATGAAACTTTCCACTTCCTGTGTCATTGTCCTCTAGGAGATGAACTTTTCACTTCCTGTGTCATTGACCTCGGGAGACAAAACTGTTCGCTTCCTGTTTCATTGACCTCTAGAAGGATGCAACTTTTCACTTACTGTGTCATTGACCTCTAGGAGATTGAACTTTTTACTTCCTGTGTTATTGACCTCTAGGGGGTTAAACTTTTCACTTCCTGTCTCATTGACCTAAAGGAGATGTAACTTTTCACTTTCTGTAACTTTCAAAATTTGCTCAGTGTTTCAAACTTTAGAACTTCCAATATCATATGTTTGTTTGCTTGTGTATCATTACTTATGTCATATGTTTGTTTGTTTGTGTATCATTACTTATGTCATATTTTTGCTTTTGTGAACTTGCTCAGTCAGACGAAGAAGTCATTGCAGGAATGAAGTTTGGCTTTGAGAGGCTGAAGGTAAGAGAGTTTTCATTGCCTGAATTTGTCCGTTTTCATTGCCTGAATTTGTCCGTTTTCATTGCCTGAATTTGTCCATTTTCATTGCCTGAATTTGTCCGTTTATATGAAACTATAATTTTTTTTTTTCTTTTCTTCAAAATAATGGTAGTCTGTCTGTTAGTCTTAGTTTCAGTTTCATAGCAAACGGGTCACCCCATCTTTGCTCCGCTCCTGTGCCAAAGAAAAACACAGAATGTTTATCACAGTATTAGAATTGCAGTTCATCATTGATGGTAGCAGAAGTCGCCAACAGATCAGCAGTTGCCCACGCGATAAATTTTAATCACATATGGGCACCACAACACTGCACGACAGGCATCGCGCCATTTTCTGAATCTACAATTCACACCAACACGTTGGTCACAGTGGAAAAAACATTCCACATGCAATCCGCAGCTCACAGGGTCACGCCATGCATTCAACTCAGAAGCTGGGCGACAAAACTATATCCAGTCTACAAATGGAACAAAAATGCATCGGCCACCGTCTGGCAAAAGCAAAAAAAATTTGCCTCTGTTTCGAACAGTGCCGCTGCCTAACGTCCATTTTGACTGGAAGTCATGAACTGAGTAGTAACACGTGTATCTTCTTCGTCTTCAGCATTCCGAGCCCCTTGAGGTTCATCACCCGCCTCCACTGCTCTTTTTTGTTGGCCTCCTCCTTCTCCTTCCAGTTGGCGAGACCAAGTGTTTGCAGTGTTTGTCTGGACATAATCTATCCATGGTTTTCTTGATTGGCTTCGTGGTCTGCAACCATTCAGCTCCCTTGTGTACAAATCCCAAAAGTCCCTTAACCTTCCAGTTTCGTTGTCCGTTTAATTTCCTCTTAAGCCGAGACTTAGATATCAGTTTCTGATGAGATGAAGTTTGACAAAGGTGGGGATGTCAGGCCCCACACTTCAACCCCCAACCTGGAGGACCAGAGTGTCTCTATTTGTCTGTTCTCCACCATTCGACTTTTCCGTCTTGTGAGGTCCTGCTAGTAGCTACGCTACCGCTGGCTCAGCTCTCAGGGTCATTGAGAAACACAAGCTCCCCCACCACGTCAAGGTGGCGACACCTTCAAGGGAGAAACAAGTCAATATAATATCATATTTTTGAGTCTCTGGAGATGTGGATATACAGAAGAATAAGTCATGCTTCATGGAAAAAACATTTTTTTTTAAAAACCTAAAAAATTCAGAGGTTCTGAAAAGACCAGAAATAAAATTGTGGAAGAAATTTAAAAAAAAAAATAAATCAAATAATGCATCCATATTAACAGACATAAAACACTTATAAAAATCATACTGGAAAGAAAAGTTGAAGGCAAGAGGCAGACATTAACACAAGTGGGAGGATAACATCAAGAGATGGACTGACAGCAGTCTGAGAGTGTGTACACCAGTGGCGAAAGAGGGAGCGTGTTGGAGATCCATTGTAGCCAACTTTTGTGATTTATTGTGATTGATTGATTACTTGATTTATTGGCTGATTGATTTATCAAATAATTAATTGCCTGATTGATCAACTGATTGATTGAGTCATCAAACAGTTGACTGATTGATTGATTCATCAAACAGTTGGCTGATTGATTCATTAAACATTTTCAACTTCTGCATCATTTGTGAAATGTTTCCCGCCAAGTAGGGTTTTTAGTGGATTGTTTTATGGGATAAACATTTGTCAGCATGAATATACTTTGCAGGCAGCCCTTTATTTGCTCTTGCCTGGCCTCACCCCTGTTAATTTGCCCTCTTGAAGTCTGGTCATTGTTGCAGATTCACAGTCATCACCTGGTTCTTGAAAACATCTTACTTCTCGTAGAGAATCTAGTGCATCAGCCGTGTCCATGGCTCGCCCGCCTTACTTCCAAACCTGTCGTCTTGTTCATTGTGTGACATTTAATGGCACAGCATCATGATGATGCTGATGATAGTGATGATAATACCCTCTTCTGCTGGCCCGAGAACCAGCTGCACACAAGTCGTGGTTGTAACTGTCTCAAAAAGCATGGTGGAAAAGGTGGAGACAGGTATGCTCCATGCATAGTTGACATGCATCGCTTCAGATGTCCCGGCTAGTTAGCATCCTTTTGATATTTTCTCCAGGGTGTACCAGTGTGTTGGGAAATGAACAGGCAGATAGATTTGCTGGTTCAGCACCACTTGGGGATAAGCTAGAGGTTGTAACTGCCATTTGGGAGGAAGTAAACAATGCGGAGGAACTAACAGATCGTGACGGTATAAAGAGGGAAGTGACCAGGTGAACTAGCAGATGCTCAACACTCGGGGGAGGGGCAAGACGGGCATACAACCAGACTGTTACTGGTACTGTCGGAGCTGGAATTCTGCACTGGCTGCTGAAGAGCGGGTCTTAGCATCTGCGGGAATATCTCGAGTGTTATGATATCAGTTCCTAACTCATGACTCATAGTGATGGTAATGATGATTGATTTTGCTTGATGCATTCCCATCCAGCTGACGGTAGAAGCAGCCTCTGGAGCGACCATCGCTGCGGCCCTGTCTGACCGGTTCAGATCTCTGGACCCCACTATACGGAAGGTTGCGGTTATTTTAAGTGGAGGCAATGTAGAAATTAATAATCTGCCTTGGTAACTAGAGAGTGTGAGTTTGAACCTGGAGGGAGAGGGGGGGGGGGTGGGGGGGGGGAGAGATGAGTCATGTACTGGTAAAATAAATACCACATTGGCTTTTATTTTATTGTGTCAGTTTTTCAGACAAGAAAGTCCTTGCATTGTATGTGTTGTTGTTGACAAGTTGGCGGAGTGAGTCGTTAGATGCTCATTGGTGTAAAGAGGATCCTCTACTTTTTTTCTTGTAAATTTTAACTAGTTATTTTTTTTAAAGTTTTCCTAACTACCTGTCTCTCAACCTACCTGTTTGTCTACCTGCATGTATACCTGCCTTTCAACATGCTTGCCTGTCTGTCAACCTGCCTGCCTGTCTACCTGCCTGCATGTTTACCTGCCTTTCAACATGCTTGCCTGTCTGTCTGTCTGTCTACCTGCCTGTCTGCCTGCCTGCCAACCTGTCTACCTACCAACCTGTCTGTCTACCTGCCTGTCCATCTACCTGCCAGCCTGTCTGTCTGTCTAAAAATCATTTGTAGTAAGCAACAATAAATTTGGTAGTCTTTTTATATCACCACTAATTATAAGAGCTTATAGGCTGAAGTATGTGAAGAAAACTGCAGATAACTGAGAGGCCAAACAAAAAACTGGGTACACAAAAGAGGCAGAGTGACTAGACACAGCTCTGTGGATCCTAATGTCATTTTTAATTCTTCTTCTTCTTCACGTTCACCAGCTGTACACTCTGGCGGAGGTTCTGGTTGCTCGTCCACTACTGAACTGCAGTCCTGCTCCAGAACCTGATTGTTGTATGTGCATCAGTTTTACAGATCTCATTCTCTTGAATACAGACTGTTGGTTCCTTGCCTCTCCGGCAGATGCACTCCGACTTCAAAGGAAGCTCTCCAATTAGTCGACTCTTACGACATGCTTTTGGGGAGGCAGTGGGTTTATTCTTGTTTTCCCCAGAATGGGGACCCGGAACCCACACAGGGTCATTTTTAATTGATCTTGGCTCTGACATGGTTCCTGCTATAGTCCTAGGAAGTAAAGGTGGTCGGTGTGATGATGACCATTAAGCCATAGAGTTCTGATTGGCATATAAAACATTGGTCTAGCAATATGAGCTCAGTATGCATGAAGGCATGGGAAGGGTTCGTTACTCACTTTTAACACTAAAGAGGTGAATTGGAATAGAGCATGAGGCAGACCAGGAGAACTTTGGAGAGGTAATGTACAAACTGGCTATGCCACCATGAGGTAAACATTGAGGGGAGGGCGCTCAGGCCCTTGAGTGTGTGTGTGCGCGCGCGCGCACACACACACACACGCACGCACGCACACACACACATGAGAAATTGGGGAGAGAGGCCTCAGGCCCTTGAGTGCACACACACACAAGAAATCAAGGGGAGAGGAGGGGTGGGCACTCAGGCCCTTGAGTGCACACACACACAAGAAATTAATGGTGGCACCCAAGCCCTTGAGTGCACACATTCACAAACAAGAAATTGGGGAAGGGGTCTCAGGCCCTTGAATGCACACACAAGAAACTATGGGGGGGGGGGGGGGTGGACGCTAAGGCCCTTGAGTGCACACACGTACACAAGAAATTGTGAGGAGAGCGCCTAGGCCTTTGAGTACGCGCGCACACACACAACCAAGAAATTGTGGGGGGGGGGGGGGGGCGGGGGCGCTCAGACCGCAGCTTTTTTTGGCTGTTATGAGTTCTCTAGGTACATCTTACGTTCAGGGTTTGCCATTGCGCCTGAACTGTCAGCTCTCGGTACAGCTGTAGAAACCAGCGGAAAAATCGTCTGCAGCAGGTATCGAACCCGGCACCTGGACACCAGGAAGCGTGTTCGCAACGCCCAAGCCACAGACGCCGACTGACTGACTGTCTGACTTTCTACCCCACCAGGACATCACACAAGCGATAAACACCCGATGACACAAAGTGCCACCATGCGGATGAGGATCACCGTGGAGAGGTCCCAGAAACCGCGTTCAGACATTTGGCCATAATGATGACCTGCCTATATTGCGGCCCCTGGCAAAAGCCAGAGTGGGGCTTCAAATAACAAAAAATTACGTCCTTAGAAGGACGTAATGAGTAATGCAGACGCCGGCCACGCAGGGACAGGTAAATGACAAATGATACTTGAGGTCACTAAATGGACAGAAAATTCCGTCGAATAGATGAATGGACGCTGGAGATATCTACAGCTATGAACCTCGACGAATTAGAATACCGAAGAAAGAGGAAGAGAAGAAGAAGAAGCAGAATATGATCTTTGTCAGTCTGACCAGGACAGACAGTGGTCGATCAACATATTGTCCCTTCTACTGACGGCACGGACATGACTATTACCGGTTTTCAGAAGCGAAGAAAGCAAATGTCGATTAGTTCCCTTGCTTTCACCACCAGCCTTCTATTCGATCTCCTTCTCTTTTGCTGTCTTTGGAGAATCGTTGTTTAGAGAGGCTGAATGGACCCGTGTCGTGTCTAGTGCTGTTCGTGACAGATTGAAAGGACACATTGATCATTCCCAGAGGTGGTCAGTTCTGAGTGAATGACCGCAAGGTGTAAGCAATTCTTGCCGAAGTCCGACATGCACGAAACAAGTGAATTTGTGAGTGAATAGATGAAGATGAGAGAAGTTCTTCCCTCTAAGACTTCAATCTGAAGGGTTGACGCGGTAGTTGTTTGGAGCGACCATCGTTGCTGTCCCGTCTGACCGGTTCGTCTTTAGACCCCAGTATACGAAATATCGCGGTTATTTTAAATAAAGGCAATTGATAGGTATAGGTTTGGATTCAGGTTTAAACAACGGATGAACATCATGGCACAAGGGTAGCAACCATCAATAAGTGCTCCGTTCTTCTTCTAACTCAAGCCTGACTCCGAAGAATCTCAGCGCAGTGCACGAAATTCGCTAGTCTACGGGACACCCTTGGGCAAGGTGGAGTACCCGTTTAGCCCCCCAATCAGGGTTACGTGAAGCCATGGAAGCAGGTGGTGGATGGAGTGTAAGAGCAGCCGACTGGTATTGTTGGTTATGGTCTGCACTCTGCGGCGATAGGCAGATGATCTCATCAGTAGAGACAATGGCTATGGCCACCGACTAGTATAGTCACTGCTCAGGAGGAAAGCAACGGCAAACTACCTTCTGCAAATTTTGCCAAGAATCCATAACAATCACTAAAACAACTGAATAAATTATGGAATTGTACAGATAGAATTACAAAGGTAAGATTTTTAAGAGCATGCATCTTTCCCATTGCAACATACGCCTGTGAGACCCGGACACTTACTAAACAAGCGGAACAGCGCATAAATGCATTTGAATATAAATGTTACAGACAGGTTCTAAGAATATCTTGGGTAAAGAAAAGAACAAATGCATCCATACTTCAAGAGCTGAATATTGAAGAGGGTTGGCTAGTAAAGACAATAAAACAAAGAAAATTGAAATATTTTGGTCACTTGAAACGTCATGGAAGTCTAGAGAGAACAATAATGGAGGGGTATATGCCTGGGAAGAGAGGAAGAGGAAGGCCAAGGAGAAGATGGGTGCAGGATGTGGCAGATGATCTCCAGATGGGTGTATCAGACGCAGGACATCTTGCTCAGGATAGGAAGGTTTTCCGGAGGGTTGTTATGGCAGCGAGGTTCCGCGAGGGACATGCTACTGAATGAATGAATGAATGGGGAGGATCCTGAAATATGTTGGGTAGATTTGTAACACCAAGTTTAACCGGGCAGCGCCGTTAGGCTACTCTTTTCGATTTCCAATTGCCAAGAGATTTTTTCTTAACGAGCAACAATACACACAGGCGTCCGATCTTACTACCCAGAGACCAAGGGGAATTATTAGAAGTCCACGTGAAAAAATCCCAGCTTTTTTACTGGGTCTGAACCCGGGACTTTCAGCACTCGAGACGGACGCCCTGCATCGAAACCACGCAGCACTCATAAAAATTGATACAATTTTTTGGTAATCAGCCAGTGTGGGTCTGAACCTGGGATGTGTCGTGTGCTGAGGAAATAAGATCACATCGTCTTTCATTATTATGCCAGTGTTTCATGATAAAGAAGTTCTTGTATTGTGGTGTAGCAGCTAGACACTCGCATCGGGCCCGACGGTAGCTTCAAATCCGCATCAAGCTGAATTTTACTATATGGCCTCGGACATCAGATCGATCTAGCCTAAAATAAGTGCCATTAAAGGCATGAGAAGTAAAGGCGGCGGTGGTGATATTGACTATATCATCCACCAAGTGACGCAAGCGTTTGCCTGGCTCGAAACACAAAAATACACCCGTATATGTATAATCAGTGATTCAATGAGTATGATCCGGAGGGTTCATGCAGGTTCGCTGCGAAGATAATGGCTTGAATCATTAAAGAAGTCCACTGTGCGTATGGTCACCTTTATTTTGGTTCCGGGACACGCAGGCGTCGATGGAAATGAAAGAGCTGATAGATTGGCTGGGTCCGCTATCACTACCGACGGTCAGTCTATGGATCATGCTGATATTATTAGTGCCCTCAGAGAAATGGGAAGGATGGAGGACTTTGGTGGCAGTGAATCCACATCACTCGCCAGAATGGCAGACTTGGGAATTAAGATCGGCACAGCAAAAAAAACGAGACGCACACCAGACACGCCAGAAGTTAATCAACATAGAACTGGTACTATTAGCCATCGGACGTTGAGGTTCATACTGAGGGGAGGATTTGAGCATCTTTGGAAATGTCCGGAGTGCAATGATGATAACCCAACCAACCAACTAACTAACTAACGCACCAACTGCCGATTGGTCTATAAAAGGTTTGAGGTTTAAACAACGGACCAATATCATGGCGCACGGATAATTATTCATAAGTGCTCCGTTCTTCTTCTAACTCAAGTCTGAGTCCGAAGAAGCTCAGCAAAGTGCACAGGCTCTGTAGCACGAGCGAAGATCCTGAAACACTTTGGGTAGATTTTTAAAGCCAAATTTTTCCCGGGCAGCAACAAG